TTAAAATTCCCATGTTATTTTTATGGGTAATAAATAAACTGTTGTAGTTTGCTTGTTTATGGATATGTTTTAATCAAATTTGACAACTTTTTTTATTTCATAATAAGCTATCAACTCTTCAATGAAAAAAAATAAAAAAAAACACCTCAATACCTCCCCTGTAGCAGCAAACCTAAGTACTCATTAAAATCATTTAAAAAGGAAATACATCTGAACATTTTAAGGGAATACAGTATTTTAGTAGCCAGGTAAATGGAAATTCTCTTAGTCTGCAGGTTTGCTGCGGCGGGGTTATTATTTGTGTATCTCATCTATAAAAAGGCTGCAAATATAATCTAACCTTCTTAGGTAAAACTTTATATTAATTAGTTGGTAAATCTGAAATATAGTTTAGAAATTCAAAGTTTCTCCCCCTCCCCCCACATTTTTTTTATAATAGTGGATATGTGATTTTTATTATAAATAACAAATTATCAGGTTTTAACATATGAATATGTACGGTTTTCATACTGATAGTGTTGCAGGAATATTTCATTTTATTTATTTACGAGCAATACTATTTTTTAATCACACACCCGTTCAAAAATCTAATTAAGAAACAAATTTAAGTATTTATTTTCACTAATAATTTTTATGATTTAAGAAGGGGTGGTGTTGCAACGAAATATTGTCATAAAATAAAATTGACATAGTAGGATATTTATCCAGTTAAACATTTCTCCATCCAATCCTGCTCTTAAGATTGGATGAGTTGTATTGTCATCAAACAAAGTATTAACGTTCGTTATTCGTCATTGGTTATTTTAGATCAGGTGTCTTAAATTGGAAAGTAATAAAACTTGCAAATGGCTAAACATAGAAACAACTGCCTAAGAAAAAAGTCTTAAAACTGTAAAGAATTACTAATGCATTTCAAATGTCGAGATAGACATGAGCCTACATTAAAAATTAAAACTAGTAATGGAGGCTCCACTGTGTTTTATTTTCGTTGTTTCAATTGTCAAGATAATGTTTCTTAACTTTGGTTAAATTTTTCAATAGGCTATTTTTTCTAAGAAACCAAATGTTGAAATGTGAAATGAAATATAATAATATCATTAATTATGCATAAAAATGCAGTTCCACGACACAATAAATCCAATAAGCAGTTGTTTATTCTCGTGTACAATGCTTGAAAATATTGACAATTTAAAGCGCTTATATATTTTATTACGAATTTGTCATTTTATCATACAGTACTGTAATTACTAATCTTAAATCAATTAAGAGCAGTTCATTAAATGGGAACAATGAACAATTATTATAAAACTAAATATATGATATAAAGAGAAAATTCATCGATGTCCATATTAATAAAACCAGGGCTATAAGAAAGACGTGTTCTCGTACCTTTATAAGAAAGTTTCCACGAAAAGCATTTATTCAAAAACAGTTTAAAGGTAACTGTCATCATAGCATAAATGGGCCTACGTCAATTTATATTTTACACTATGTTCCTTGAATTTTTTCTCAGTTTGTGTGCATCACAGGGAAAATCTATGCATTCTCTTAGAAAGATATTTTCCCGTAAATGTGTTGAATCCCTTTATAAATTTAAATAGGCTCAAAAAATAAATTTTAAATCAAACAAAAATTAACATTGACCTTATGCGTTGACATGCTGGTAATGAAATAACAAGGAAATAAAAACAGAAAATAAAAACAAATATAATAAATTCCAATCACATCTTTTATTTACAGCATGTGGTAAAAATATATAAGGTTGCACAAAACATCTTATTGGTAGATTTTTCGACCACGGGGCGACCTCTAGTATAAGGAAAATGATTATCGTATTACTTTAATATATAATTCGATAATTATTTGCTGTGTAAAATTTGACAACAATTAATTTCTGCATAATAACCAATTAGAATTGGTTTTGGCCTATGTGGCAGGTTGAAATTCCACGAAAAGATTAAACTAAGTCATCTGCCAAAACCAGAAAATAATTTTATAAAGGAAATTACAACGCGCTTGTTTTACTTTTAAATTTAAAAGATAAATTTCATGTGCCTATATATATATATATATATATATATACATGTATAGTTTTTTTGTTTATTACTATATTTCTGGAAACTTGAATCTGCTGACTAAAATGCCTGTACGGTACTGTAAAATAACAAAATGTAAATCAAAAGGTGTAACTTAATTTATCATTTGGTTTGAAGTGTAACTACATTAATAATTTATTACACTAAAAAGATTAAAATGTTGACTGAATAGACAATATAGTGCGAAAGATGAGCTGAGAATTTAATGCCATAGAGAGTGGTTCAAATTGCATCCCGTTTACATGGGTCTGTATAAAATAACCTGTTAAATAATGTATACATTTCTTCTAAAAATGTTATTTTTGGTCGAATAATAACTGTAGGGTTGTATCAGGGAAATTAAACTCATTATTATTGTAACAAGGAAGTAAAAAATACTTTTTGATCTGTAAGACAATTTTGGCCGGGACCCCAAAATGGGGTATTATTATAATTATAATTTATTATCTGCTTTGTAAAATTTGAGAACAATTAATTAAATAGGTAACCAATTAGACATAGGCCTAGGTCGCAGGGTGATACCCCACAAAATGATGAAACGGAGTCGTCTTCAAAAACATCAGAAAATAATTTTACAAAAGGAAATTACAATACGCTTGATTTACTAGTAAGATAAATAACAAATTACATGTGTATATATATATATACATGTATCGTTTTTTTATAACTATATTTCTTTCCATTTTAATCTGCTGACTAAATTACCAAAAGATTAAACATTAATTGTTGTGTACACTTTGACTATACTAAAATAACCAATTAGGCCTTTGTGTTGAGTGGAAAAGATGAAACGCGTGCGTCAAACAAAAAGACTAGACTTCATACTAATTTAGAAAAAGAAATGACAATTCCGTTTATTTACAGGTAAGTTGAAATAATAACTAGGTAAAATATAAGGTTGCCTGGTCAAAGTACTCCAGCTAATTATTTTTAGTAAATTATAAAATGAAACATGATCGTTCTTCATGTTTCGTCACTTCTTCAATTGAGTGTACAGTATTATTCACTTATACGGTAGATAAACGTTTTTCAGGCCTAAAATAAAAGATAAACTTTAAGAGGTCAAAAATATATTTCTTACTTTAAAATTCTCTTGAAAAAACTTATAGGCCTGGGCCTAATCAGTTTTATAAATTGATAACCTAATTAGATAAATTGATTTGTTGTGGAAATGTATTAAAACAAAATTAAATGTACAAAATAAACTATGATTACTCATTAAAATTGAAAAGGCGTCTAATTTAAAAATTGGTTGTAAAAGAAAATAATATTTTTGAAGAACGAGAATATGATGGAATCCACGTAATCCCATTGAGTATATGTGTATACTCAAACGAACCTCGATACCTTGAAACTGAAAGGAGAACGGTCGAAATTCCATTGTTGCATTCTAACAATTAGGTACAACCTTCGTAATTCAACTTTTATACGCTAACGCCTTTTACAACTAGAGCTCAAACATATTTTACTCAAGCATCAATTGCAATCCAAACAAGGCTTTACCTTTGTGTTCAAAAATGGTCTTATGGTCTGTTAAATATTTATTAGAATATCGTTAACAAACAAAACCAAACATTCATATAAGAAATGTAAAATTGTAATTGAACTGTACCTGTTGGAATGAAAGGAAGTAAATATAACTAAATTAAGATATGTAATAGAAACCTCAATAAACTCTACAAACATATGTAAATCATGTTAAAACAAACACACAGAATATACTAGAATGACCTTTTGATATTTGACATATTTTAATCGGTTAAGGCATTCAGGGAAAGTTGCGGGTTACTCGGATCAGCAAAGTCCCACAGTTTGCTACTGCAACAAGTTTTATCATTAGATTACAGGAGTTTAATCATGCACCAACTCAGGACCTTTTGGATCCCAAGAGGATGAAGACTTCAGGAATTTCATTTATCTTTCTAGTATTGCTTGAATGTGCAATATCTCTTGAAATGGATTATTTGACTTTCAAACAAAATTACACAGTTACAATGGCAATTACTCTATGTTTAATCACTTTCCTACATGCATCTTATTTGTAATACATCCTTACATGTGGTAGTATACATAAAAAATAGCAGATCCAAATTTTTCTTTGTTGACTATTGCTATTGCTAATCCGTTACTTAAGGGAGAAGTAGATTACCAAAAGTGTCAGATTATCGAAAATAGTATAAAACTTTATCTATAAGCTAACAAAAGTCAACTTGAGAAGTTTAATTACCCCTTGACTATTAGGTGTACGGATATATCACTTTATTGAATTTTAAAAGCCATAATTATTGAATCTAAAGCTTATTTGATCCAGCTCACCAATTATGAGTAATAATGGCAAAACGTATCTTGTCGGACAATCCTTAACATGTACTTTAGTGTTGTATTTTAAAATTGGCTTCATATGTTTAGGTGGTTATTTAACTCCACCATCGTCAAACCAACAAAAGGATTTACTTCTGGAGGTGCCGTCAGAATAAGTTATAATCATTAGTCATAAAACACAATCCTGGGGCTATCAAAATGAATTATAATTATCAATTATCCTGTACAGCCGTATATTTTAGTCCAAAATATTAATAAGTATAACCACAGAGTAATTTTTATATTACTTCTTTGTGGTATAACCTTGGATCTAAATTAACTCAGACCTACCTGTATTCTCTAGAAAATTCAGGTACGGTACAACAGCTCAATTGACAAATTTAAAAAATCAGATTGGTAGACTACACTTTCATTACAGCATCGGATTACCAAGTGTGTTGGACCATCTATCTATTAAAACCAATGTTTTAGCTCCTGAGCTGTGATATAACTGAAAATAGGTTTTATTACCTTTCGTCAACAGCTCAATAGTCTGAGATACCATGATTCTCACAGGTATATCATTGTTATTGTTGTTTGCAGATGGTGAGCAACAGATGTGCCATGTGTCTGCTGTGCCTCGCGTCCCTCGTGGCACTATCTACGCAAGACATCTACGCCAACCATCGCAAAAGAGCAGAGCTCCTGCAAGAAACATTCTTGCCGGATCATCACTTCACAAGTGAGAACACCTTCTTAATAAAACACTATGGTTCTTTGTTCTTTGACTTATGTGTCATTTAACTAAGACAACTAACAGTACCGGTATGTACAGGGTGAGTATAGAGTGGAGTGAGCTGACTTGTAGGCTTGGAGCTTGGTTATGATTAAGATCAACCAGCAATCTTCTGATGTTTAAGCAAGTACCACTCAGCCCCCAGCTATAAAACAGATTCAACCATACCTACATCAAATAATTTGTGTTAACAAATCGTTAATATTTTCATTTTTGGAGTCATTAACTTTGGCTGGACTCATTTTGTAAAATTTTAGGTCTGTTCTGAGGTGTGTTCATATTGGATAAGGTTTTAGTGTGTTTTTATAGACTATCATATTTATCTCGTGAGTTGTGAATTCTTTCACAAGAACTTCACTTTGGACTTCTTTCACTTTGGGCATGCCAAAGGACAAGCAACCATTCATACATATTACTGAATTTCCTTTTAGTAAAGAAACTATTACCGTAGGTTACACGGAAATATCCAGATCTGGGACTGATTTAATGACTTTTTCATTTTGAGGCCCTCAGCTGAATCCACATTATTTTTAGGATACCAAAACACTACAAAATGCATGATGTAGAACTTCCAAGTGCAGTGCCTTTTATTGCACTACATAATAAAGTGGGTTAGTTTGGTTTAGTTAAAATCCAATAGGAGAAATTGAAATCCGTTTAGTGTACAGGTATTCTGCATTGGGGGTGGATTTTATTTGTTAGTAAAATAACAATACACGAGTACTAGTATATAAATATTTAATAGGAAAGAATGGGTGAAATGGGATTTTATCAATATTTGAATTTAATGTATAAATCAGTACAGTACTGTACAAGGGAAAAATACTTTGACTGGCTGAACACATTCTTATTTATATTTCAGATGGTTCATTGTTATTTGAGCAAAGAATACAAATTCTATGTTATGGTACAAAGGTGTTAAAGTCTTCAACTATTAAATCACAGACCATCAATAGCAAAGCTTCTTGAATGGTCTTAAGAAAAATATTTCCTTTGTAAATATAATAACATTTGGTGGGGTTTGAGAGTTTACCTCAAACTCAAGTGCCTCAAAACATTCCTAAGTCAATAAATGGGTTTACCTTGTGAAATATTGTTACTATACATATAACATACATCTAAGATTTTTGTGGATATAATGTTACTCTTGTCCTGTTTCCACAGATCGCGACGTCAGGCAAAGCAAGTTCTGGAGTGGGAGTCGCTACGGTCGAGGGGGTCACGATATGCCTCAGCCGAGACTGGAGGTAGAACCACGCGGAGATCGTTTCTTCATGGGCAGTCGCTACGGAAAACGCAGTACCTGGGCTGGTCAGTATTCTTCACTATTGACTAACATAATTTGTTGGGGCCCCAACAAAAACACGTTGAAAACAGCAAATTTATAATAAATATTTTAATTCCAAATTTAAGTTTATTTATGAGGATAAAATGTCAAATCTGAAAGCTAGTGAAGCGGGGTTATAGGAATTTCAAAATAAAAATAGGAATATGTCCACCTCTGGTATATTGACTCAATTCCTGCTAAACTTTACCTCAATAGGTCCAGAGTAGTTTTCGTGTGATTGTCTATGTGACATACTCACAAACATCCATAATTTCAAACTCATAATATATGTAAGATAAGATAAGATAGCAGATTTCAAACTATTCCCATAAAATTAAATAAATTATTGTAAAAGAAACACCATACTATGAAGAGTTAGAAAAATTACTTAATTCACTATTTAAAATAGATACGCCTAACAAATATTTCTTTTACTTTTTTAATGAACATAAATAACCCCCAACTTTAAAATTAATCCGCATCAAAGACCTTAAATCCAAATATACGTAAAAAAAATAAAAATGAAATTGCTTAGTATACTTTTGTTGTAGAGACAGAAGATGGATTGGTACCAGAAAAAGTCACTTGCCTCTACACTGGCATAGTCAATTTCTTCCGCTGCACTAAATTTAACAGGTAATCATACATGGCATACTGAAGGATTTTCTTGATATTTATTACTAAAAATAAATTACTCTCCCTTTCTTGAAACTTAAAAAAACAAATTTGCAAATCGCCTATCTATTATCCAATTAATAAAGAATGCATAGAAAACAGTTTGTAGGCAAAGATTTTTTTGTATGACAGACTGATATACAGCTGAATTAAAAGCAAACAACATAACTCAAGCTTATCGAGATAGCCTTATAACAAACAGTAGGAGCATACACATATAGTACAAAATTGTAATCTGAGGTTGGCCATGATGATGACAAGAGTGTGAATTGTCAAACATGATTCAGTATAATATATTTTATATGAATCATGGACAGTGATTATTGTTACTTATGAAAGATGCGTTTGTTGCAGCAAAATTACAAGAGAAGATTCAGAAGAGGATGATGTCAAATAAGTCCCCCTTTCTCACCCCCCAGCTCTTGCATTCTCTCCTAAAGACAGTGAAACCATCAAGTGAGAATGTGTATTAAGTTGTTTTTATCATTAAAAGTAAAAAATGTTGTTTATTTTCACAATTAATCAATTGTTAAATATGTATTATATTTATAAAAAATTATCTTACTTGCTCATTATGAATAAAATAGTGGAAATTAAGCACTCCGTTCAATGAAACCTTTGGTAAAGTAATAATGAGGGAAGAGATATATGGTACTTCAAATAAATCAATACCAATCACCTGTGTTATAGTCCATTACATTCATAATCTAGTCTGACAACTTGGGGAATTTATTAGAGGTATATCTAAACATATCAATCTCAAGAGATATAGAAAAGGTCAGCCTGTTAAGCGGATGGACAGTCATCAAGATATGAAAATGGCTAACTGGAACATTCATTTATAAATCCATCCATGATAAAATATTTATTATTATCAAAAATCAATTATTCAATAATTAATTGGTTGAAACTGATTGAAATCTTCAGTGGTTTTGAGGATTTTGTAACAGAGAACATATTAGCTGTTTCAAACCAGAACTTTATTAGAGAATTTGACCCTGTCTTATTTATATTAGGTAGCTTATAATTATGTTTGTATTAACACCCTAAAGATGAAATAAGTGGCACAAAATTATAAAATATAAGAGTGCATTTATATTGTAATCATATTTTATTTCCTATCAGTCTACCACTAGAATAATTGCAGAGAGAAAAAAGAAGATACACTAGTAATATAATCATATAAAAAACACTTATATGATGAGGTACAAAGGACTTTCTCTAAAAAAAAACTGTAAATGAATATAATTTAACTACAATTTAAAATAATGGTACATTGATGGTACAGTGTCTATTCAAATACCATGAAAAGAAGCAATAACAATCACTTACAAAAAAATGGCTACTCTACAGAATCAAGGTATTTCCCTGCAGAAGTGGTGACCCTACATTCTTCATTAATAAAGAGTATTGATTTATCATCACTATAAATATTGGAACTTTTATCAAAGGATTTGTTATGGATAAACTTATTGAGTGTTTGTAGTGAGCTACCCAAAATAAATTCTTACAGATGCTAAAACTAAGCGTGTCAACATAATCATTTATTCATGTTGGCGTAGCCAATGTATTTTTGCCAAAACCCTCCTTGTATTCACTATGCATAACTGGATTTTTCAATCCTGAAACTGTTTTGAATCTTATCATGTAAATCAGTGGTTGTGGTTGTGGGATTTATATCGATTGACGTGGTAATACCCAACATATTATAACAGTTGTGCAATGTGATCATGACATGACATTTAAAGAAAAATCTAACTTTACTTATCAGACATGGAAAGGTTTAAGATATACGAGGGTTGTCAGTAATTTAAGATCTCCATTAAGCTTCAGTCATAGCCAAACAAGAAATGAGACCAACGTAGTTTTTCTTGCTTCACCTTCTACTATTCTGATGAATTTCCACCACTGTGGGATGATTTGAACTTGCCATAGTATTAAAAACGTTTTGAGAGAAAATTGATGCTTTTGCAATGTATGAATCACATTCTGTGATAAGGTTTCTGTAGGGAAGGGGTCCACCCCAGTTGATTACTATTGCCAGTTGACAGATGTGCATGCAGAAAAGTGTTTTGGAAATACAAAATGTGCAAGTGGCTTAGGGAGTTTCAGAAAGCTGTACACACATTAGCACAACAGTCCAGAGCAATGGTGATCATCTGTTTCTATTGAGGCAGTGATTGAATTAAGCTCATCGCACACTACAGACAGACACACCACCTCGCGCCGCGCCGAGCCGCCGTGAAATAATTCTGGCCGAATAGTTTGTATGGGATTCAGTGATGTGATAGTGCACACACTTGAGTGTGACGCGCCGTGCAGCCGTGAACACCGCGGAATAATTCCGTTTGCAGAACTCTCAAGAGAAGTCGCAAGGAATTGTTGTTCTGAAGGCGGTGAGGCGCGCTGTAGTGTGCGATAGGCAACGGAACCGATTTCTGACTGTGGCCATCTTCGCGTGTGCATCTTCGGTCAGCAAGGAAAACTCACTGATCACAGTCACAGTCTGTACCTGAAGTCATTCTGTTCTGTTTACGTTCACGTACGTGCTTATAGCGATTATCGAGGAAGTTATTTCAGGTAACAGTCTGAACCTGAAGTCTATTCTGTTCTGTTTACGTTTACGTGCTTTATAGCGACTATCGATTAAGTTAAATAAAATAATAAAAAATAAAAGAAAGACATATCTTTGTCCTCAGAGCTGCTCATCTAAAAAAATAATAAAAAAAAATACACTTAACAACACAATCACAAGACACACAACTGCACGCCAATGTAGAACTAGAGGCACTGCCCATGAGGTGCGGAGAGGGACGGCGGCGACTGCGCCCAGTATGTGCGATCTCACAACGGAAGTTTCCACAGGGGGGTGCGGCGCGTTTGACTGTAGTGTGCGATGTGCTTTAGAAGAAACTTTGCTAACTGATTGTGTGTTTAAGACTTTGGCTGATCATTGGCCTTGATAAGTCTTAGAGACATCCTCTGTTTAGTTCGCCAATCCCTCTCGTTCAGTCACAACACAATCCACATGCAAAAATTCTCTTAACTTTAGTCTTGTTTCAAACGAGACTGATGAACAATAGCAGACAATCTACAGCAGGAAAAATATCATGCAAGTTTCTACAATAAACTGTGATCTCTCTCCACCTATTAACACAGAGCTTGGATGGTTACTGGTTTGTTGAGTAGTTTGGCTTTAAAATACTATCAACAAAGTCATCAAAAAAAGGAACAGAAAAATTCCTCTTTTCATCAAAAAATGCTCAGCACACTAAGACATACTTACATCCTCTGAGGAACTTCCAAGTCTAATTTTCTACCACAAAAAAAAATCTAAGCTCAAACCACTTGATCAAGGGACCATAAAGAACTTAAAAGTGAACTACAGGAGAGAGGTGGTAAAATGGTCTTTGAGGGATATGGGTAGCAAGCAAAAAACTCAGATCAATCAACTTGATGATCTTTGGGTGGCGTCAAAAGCATGGAACTCTGAAACCATTAAAATTGCTTTCATGTTTGTGGTTTAAAAGTATCCCTACCATAGAAAATTAACCGGATGAAGAGGTAGAATCATTGATTGCGGACATTATTGAGACACCAGACCAATAGAGTGTAATATTTAAACTAAAAGTCATAGTTATGTATTAACTCTTGCATATATAAAAAAGTAAATCTTTTAAAACACAACATAAACAAATGAACATTAAATTAAACATATGTTATTTGTCATTTTCCCCTTGATTTGCCCCATATTTTTTTATGAATCTATTATTTCTTCTCTTTAAACCCTTATCTTTAATAGAGACTAAATAAGATCTGGGTTGTTGAAGTTTCTTCTCTATTACTCAAATTATTAAATTATTTTGAACTAAGGAATTTATTATTATTTCGGCATACACTAGCAAAGTGTTTGGCTTGCCACATTTTTACAGATTCTTCCTATTGCAGGACAGATTCCATGATTATTGATATCAACTAACATTTAATTAGTTGCGCTCGCAACTAGGGCTCATCACAGCTGGCAGCCGCCATCTTGCTGAAGATTAGTGAAAAATCACTACTATACTATAGCCTACTATAGCCTACTTCACTACTATAGCCAGCTTCACATCGCAGCCAACGTGCTTCATCTATTGGTCTTATGTGATCGTTGCATGTATCACAGCTCCATGACCAAATTAAATTAAAAATCCCGCCGCAGCGAACCTGTAGACTAAGCAAATTTCCATTTTCCTAATTGGATTTACACTAAAATGTCTCCTTAAAAATATCACATTTATTCTTAATTTAAATAGCATTAGTTTTAGACTACTCTAGGTTTGCTGCAACAGGGAGGGTAAAAAAGTGTTTTTGTAAAATTTTAATAGTTTGGTATGAAATAAATGCACTTTCCAAATGTGATCAAAATATGCTTATAAAGAAGCGAACAACAACAGTTTTGAGTTTACTTATTCTCTATAAGAATAACATGAGAATTTTAAATTTAAAATTTTTTTGAATTTTTTCCGTAACCATTAGGCGCATAATAACGCTTCAATATACTAAATTATAAGTTTTTTTAAGATCTACAAAATGGTTTGGAAAGAAATTGTTAAATTTTATGTTTTTAGGGTCAAAAATTGGAAAACCCAATTTTTACCCCATAAAACCTCCCATAAACCCCGTTCCCATAGTCCGATCACACTGGTTCGCGAACTCGTTTGAATAAATGTAGGTTTTCACGTTTATACAAAATTTCATCAAAATCGGATCATTTTTGCTTGAGTTATCGTGCTAACTGACATATGTAAACCAACTATTTTTGTTTTTTATATACAGTTGAGCCTTTATAAGACGAATTTCAAGGGGTACGGGAAAAATTCGTACTATAGAGGTATTCTTAATAAAGAGGGTCGTTTTATCGAGGTTTAATGCTGCTGTTATTCTTCTTATAGAGGTTTCTCCTCGCTCCAAGTTTTTTCCAAACAATGACTGAGGAAGGAGGAGGGATGGGTGGGGGTTTCATGTTGAGACAAGCTTCTGTTTGTTTTGAAAACTACGTACTATGGAGGTTAAGATTATGATAAATTCGTCTTATAGAGGTCACGTTCGTCTTGTAGAGGTTTTGTGCTAAGAATATTTGTTGTATAGAGGTTAATCAGTCCTAGCCCATGTCACAAACAAATTCGTCTTATGGAGGTTTTTAACTTAATTACTACGTTGTATAGAGGTGTTTTTAGCATTGACCTATATGAAAGTGTCAAGGGGATTAAAAAAAATTCGTCTTATCGAGGAATTCGTTTTATCGAGGTTTGTACAAACGAGGTTCAACTGTATATGAATTTGAACGGTTGGTGTTTTTTGGACTCTAGGGACCTCAAAACGAAAAAGTAAATCGGTCCCGGGTCCAGGTCCTACCATGAGTACTACAGTAATAGCTTATTCCCTATATGGGAAATTTGCTAAAAACTTCTTCAATCTTAAACACAGATAAAAACAAAAACAAAATTCAGCGTCAGAGGTTTCCCATGCATAGAAAAATTAAACCAAAGTTCATGAGAAATGTATTTATTCATTTAATTGAATTAAATGGGTAAAAGAAAATCTTCATTAGAATCAAGAAAATAATACATTTTTTAAGTTTTTATTGTAAAATAAAATTGTTTCTTCTTCTTAGTAATAATTCAAAATATGAAACCAAAATATCTATAAATCACAACCAATCTAAATTTAGTCACAACCAGTAGGTATATCTATTGGAACTTAATACAACTTTTTTAATTTGTTTAAACAATAGAACAACTTTTAAGGTTTTTAATTTAAACAAAGAACATGAAAAACAATGAAAATAAAAACTGTTTTGATAGAAATTAAGACACATAAAAAAGAAAGTTACATTAGTCAACAGAATGTAAAAACTCTAGGGATTACAAACTAAACTTGACTATACATAAAAAATAATACTATTAGTCAAAGCACACTTATGTTTTAAATACTAGTCATTTTGTTAAAAAGGTGAACATAACGACGTTTTGTAGTCATATTATATACTATCTAATACTGTTAGTTTTCAGACATAACTTTTATTAATCAAACTAAAAACATTGTCTACGCATTAAACTAAAATCAATAACCCATCTTTAAAATGTATGTCCAGCATTATTTTAGATTTAAATTTAACAATTGTCTTTTCTGAAGTTACAATAAACAAAACAAGGTTGTTTGGATAGTTTCTCCTGGCAATAGAATATAAAATTGTATTTATTTATAAAAGAGGTTGTTTGAATTAAAATATACCGACAAAAAATTCAAACTTTCAAATTTTTACAAAATCTATTTACCAATGTTGGTTTTGTAATTAACAGGAAGTGATCCTGACTAAATATATCATCAAATTGTCAAGTTAATTGAGTCCATGCTGGATAAAGTAAAGTTTAGTTAAATATTTCAAAAATATACCAATGTATACAAACAATCTATGTCTTCAACATTATTGGTTGGTTGTATTATAGTTGGGGTTATTAAATTTTAAAACATAATCAATATAAGACAAATAAACCTTAACTTTCAGAACAATTAGTTTTCAAATTGTTGAATAAGTACTCTTTTATCAGCCAACATAGAGCTGCTACTTTTAGTAACAGTCACTGTGAGGGCTTTTTTTACACATAATGAATTTAGAGAGAACATATTAACTTCTATCTCCTCAAGAGACACTCACCAAGTAATACCTCAAGAGAACTGAAAACCTCCACTTGGGGTAATACAACATAGACTTAGATCTCAAAACTGGTCATCTAAATAAAGCTATCTTACAACAGGGTTGAGTCCCCTAATACTTAGAAGGAATGAATTAGCTAAAATGTTAATACAATTACATAATAATATGTACAGAATTCAAACTATTTAACAAGTACTAAATGCACCCTGGCACTTAAAAAAAAATTGTATTAAAAAATATGTATTCACAAAAATAAATTACTTACAAATAAGTACCTTTTAACTACAAAACAACAAAATATATAACAAAACAAAAATACTGCTAAGATTCCCTCACATTTTATTGTGACCTCAAATTAGTAAGATGTTGTTTGAAAAATATTTTTAAAAGCACTATATAAATGTATATCACTAAACACTAAACAGTTTAGAATAAAATTAGCCTAGATTCTGGATCTGGACAAATACAATGGAGGAACACCAGTTGGATGGAATACAAATTATGAACTATTTTTTTGGCCATCATAAAAGTCAATATGACTGAGAAATTTTTAAAATGCTTAAGGTTTTGGATTAAAATAAAATAAAAATGAAAGCCTAAAATTAGATAAAAATACACACCTATTCATATGATAGAAAATCTTTTAAATTTTCTAAACAGAAAAGGTTAAAACTAAGTTAATTGACAAGAAAAGTTAAACAAAACTTACTTCTTATTACTTGCATCAACGTCACCTTTTTTAGGTTTAACGAATGTTCAGCCTTTACCTCATAAAACCATTACTTTCTAAAACGTAGATCTGTAATAGTGTTTAAAATAAAATTATACCTTTTATCTTTTCTTTTATCACAGAAATTTAAATCAAATCCAAACTAAACTTAGAGATCCATCCCTAACAAGTACTGAATAAACTATTATGGACTATATTGATGTTAAATCAAATTATTTTTCTTACAACATTAATGACAAATACTGTTAGTGTTTACAAAAACATGTAAACAAATAATACAAACTAGAGATTAAAAAATTAATAAATTTAAAACAAAGTCTTACTGACCAACAAAACTACACAGACATATCTCAATATGTCAGTTTCAACAAAAAAAAAAACACTATGTCAAAAATTAATACTTTGGTCATTTGTTAAAATAGTTGAGACTAGAAGACTAACCGAGTTACGTTTGACGTGAGATCATCATGGAGAATGGACCGACCATACCTTTAAGGGCATTTAAAATTTGTAGGATGTTGCTGGCATCATTCACCTCAGGACCCTCTACCTGAAGAATCTTGTCCCCCTCCTTCAATTTATCCATCAAGTGTGGCGAAACATTTTTTATGAAAACACCCTAAACAGAAAAACAACAAAACATCATTAATATAGTTTGCACAGTAATAATGATTACAAACATTTGCGTCCAATATCTGTTTTTTGCAGTAAACTATACTTAAAGAGAATTGCCCACTGAAGGATCTTGTCCTGTCGTTTGATTTATTTCCCAAGTGTGGTGGATCATTTTTTGCAAAAAAAAAAAAAAACAACAAATAATCATTAGCATTGTTTGTAGTGAGAGCAAGCTGGTCAAGTGGTAGAATGTGAGGTTTCAGTCCCCGAGGTCTTAGGTTCAAAGGACAATGCCGCGAGGCTCAACACCATGTAGGACTTCTGTTGGACACAATCATCGCAATGATAGAGGGTTGCTTACAACTGGACCTGTGTGTCACAGTTCCTCCAGGGTATTCTCCACGCCAAGAAGCTTGACCTTGACTGGAATGCGGTATAGGACATAAAAGAACTGAATGCTAGAAGAGTTGCGAATCTTGAGGGCTTAGGTCACACAAAGACCTGACTTGTGACAAACAATCCCAGATCTGTGTACAACAGAGTAGGTTTTTTTATTGACTTGTCTGATCAAATCAGGAGTATCACCCTGCAAGCTGTGTGCATAAAAGCATTTGATCTCCTCTCTCAAAAAAAGTCCCCTACATGACATAGCTAACAACTCCTACCCTTAAATCTGTATTGTCCAAAACAAATAGGAACGGATTACTTTGCCATTTCACATTCGTTCATTTCACTGTATCCATAGATTTTGTAAACCAAACATTGCTAATAACATAAGGTAAGGACTAAACTAAAGACAGATATTTTTTTAGAAAATGCATGACATTCACCTATCTGCAGGAAACGCTGCACATGAAGTAAAATACTTAACTAATAGAACAATATTTATTCAGTAGGCCCTACTTATTAATTAAGTAACTTATTATTTCTTTTGTTTATTTGTTTGGACATATTGCAAAGATGAGTGCAATAATAAACATAAAAAACACAAGTCAATATTTGCATACTTACAGCATATGAAGCTGAGATCTCGAATCCCAAGTCTGGTCCAGTTTTGTTGATTACTACCTCTACCTGAAAAAATAATAGGGCAATCAAAGACAAATACCAGCCACCAGAATTAGCCATTTTAATAAAATGTAGCTCATGTTTTGAGGACACTTATAAAAAAAAGAAAGCCCCATTCAAAAACCTTCTATGGACCCTTTTATGGTATGTCGGTTGATATGTTTTAACATTGGTAATAATTAACTAATCCCGTATAGGTAGTATATACAGTTAAGGATACATTTTATTTGACGAGTTGTGTGAATTGTACCTTCTGAATTTAAAACATGGCAGTGAAAACTGCTGTACAGAATTATCTGTGGTGGACGGTGGTACATAGTGTTTGCGTTTTTACTAATGACAGTACCCTTAGGCCTACATTTTTAGTTTTCCCTAGTAGCACAAATATGTATTTTATAAATATTTTATATATTCAAAGTTGTATTTGATATAACTTTGAATAAAATATATAAATAATCTTTAGTAATAGTTTGATATCTACAAATATATATTAAAAACTCGCCTTTGGCTCGCCCCCTTTTTTGGTCGGGGTATTGTTGGAAGTTCCTCGGAGAAAATCTATTATTGAGTAAAATAATACAATAATAAGAGGTTTGTAAAATACTAAGCACTGTAGTCTAGTGCAACTGAAGTGTTTTTGATACAGATATATTAGGGGGGTTGATTTAGTGGGGGGGGGGGGGGTAAATTGTATACACTTCTAAATTATTCCTTGATTTTAAAACGAAGACTAGTAACTGAAATATTTCAAGTCTTTACCACGACAAAAGACAGTGATTCAAGAAGTTGAGGGTTTTTAATTATTTGGTATGGGGTAAACATAAAAAATGCTAAATTCCTTTAATATAGGGGTTTTATTAAATAGGGGGTTTATAAGAAATAGGTGGCTTTGAGTTATAGAAGTTAAAAAACATAATATGACGTTTTCAGACATCCGCCATGTTGGATTTGGGGGGGGGGGGTTAAGACTTTAAAATGGGACTTTTGAAAATCGTTAGGGTTATTTTTTGGTATCGTTGTACCATTGTTGTACACTATTGTAAAGTTTTAAATCCCTAGCATGTTTCCAAATGGTTTAGATCCGCATACCTAAATGGGAAGGATTGGCGTGTCTTTACAAAACACCTTAGGGAAGCTTGGAAGTATAGATGGGAACTTATAAGTGAGTTTAACTTCTAAATTTTAGGTAAATAAAACAAAAAACAACCTTGAAACTCGTTTACTTTTATCTGATATCCTTAATTCTGTATTATGTTTTGTAGTCTATTGAGTACTCTAATTATGTTTTATTATAATTTATTTTATGTATAGTCAAACTTTTTCATTTCTTTTTGTGCTAAATGTTTTTAAAGACTCTTATTTATTTTAGAAGGCAAAAAATGTGTCAACCAAACAAACTGTTGTTATTAAATCATTGTTTCAAAGTGTTATGTTTTTGGATGTACATATTACCTTATCGTTTGGTAAAGCACTTACTCATTTCATTTCATTTCAAAAGTTGTAAAATATTTCAAGTTTTTAACATAAACTTAAATTTTGAGGGTCAAGGAGTAGGGTTACGAAATAACCCTACATGTAGTACCTGAAATTCCAAGTAAACTAAGGAAAATAAAAAGCGTTAATAATATTTGAAAAAGAAAATACTCTGGTAGAAATAAGAAGCAAAAACCGTAAAAACTTTTAAAGAAATTTAAAAATTTTTGAAAGTATGACGTTTTTGGTGGTAAAGTGGTGCGATTTTCGGGAAACGCCTGAAAAAGTTTTGTAGAAATAGTTATTTGTGTAACTAGTGGTGAAAGTGGCACTTTGCTGCACACGAGAGCAACGTTTACGCACGAGCCGCAGGCGAGTGTGGAATGATCTCGAGTGCAGCAAAGGCCTTTTTCACTCGTGTTACACATTATATTTTTCCTACAGTCACTATAAAACATAAATAATTAGTCTTTCAAACACTATACAACACGTTTTTAGGTTCAGCTAGCAACACAATTACACAAATGGTGCCCTGGAGAAAGTAGTACCCGTGGTCCGTATCACTCCGCTATTTTTCCTCGGCAAGAAATGTGCTCCGTCTTTTGAGAATATAGTTCCGTATGTTTTTGTAATTTGAAGTGGTTTCCGCGCCTAAAAAAATGCTTTAAAGGTATTTTCTTGTTTATTAAGACCGTAGGAATGTTTTAAAAACGTTTAAAAGAAAAGTCCAGAAAGTTCAGAAATACCAAAACTATAAACACGAAATGACAGGTTAAATCGTAGTTATAATAGTCAATCAGCTGTTCATAGTATTATTATCTTTAAGTGTTGCCAACCTATTTCCAAGCGTACACGGATTACGTGCATAATAAAACCACGCTGTTTTGTGTTGTTTGGTTGGAATCCTGATGTGCGGCAAAGTATAAACCGTGCGGCAAAGTATAAACCGTACGGCAAAGTATAAATATGCAGCAATTAGCAGCTTTCTGTACTTTAAACTTTGTCGGGTGACTGTAGGAAAATGTTATTCCTGACCATGAAAGTTCTTTAAAATATTGGCTAGCTCTTACCGTTTTTGAGTTAGAGCCGTTAAAAAAACGTGTATTATCGTTTTAGGATGTCGACCATTTTGGACTTTTGGAGGGTTAAAATTTTAAAATGGGACTTGAGCAAATTTTACCATTAATTTTGGATCCCATACTAGAATACTAACAAAATTCACGTCTCTAGCCAAAGCGTTTCTAACCAATTCACATGATTATACCTAAGTCATTAAATTTCAATGCTTTCTCCAGATAACATAGGGCTCGCAAAAGTTGTAAAAACCTTCAAATTTTGACATTAAACTTAAATCTCAAGGGTCTAGGAGTCAGTGGCGTACCAACGGGGGGGGGGGGGGGGGGCGGCGGGGGCGGTCTGCCCCAGGCCCCACACCAACATAGGCCCCCAAATCAGGGCCGTATTCTCGAACACGGCCATTGCTGAGGGCCTCTTGGCCTAGGAAGGGGCCATACTTGGGTCTCAAAAATTGGAAAATAAATTATGCTGTTGAATATAATCAATTCATCTGTTCTCACAATCACCGGAAGCGTCTGCAAAGATTGCGCGATCAAAAATTACGACTCCCAGCGATCGCGGGTGACGATAATAAGGTCTCGCAAGCGCAAAAGATGTTCTGTGTTCACGATTTCGCCGCGATTGCGGGGGACGATAATGTTGTCCAAGCATTCGCTGGAGATGTTAACGATTTCGGAATGTAGAATATATCCCTGCTTCCGCGAAAGATGTTCACTATTCCACCGTAAACATAGGGCATGTTTACGATTGCTCCGCCGTCTCGGAGATAACCCGCGCGACCGCGGCAGATGGAGATTATAACCCCACAAACACGGACGCTCAAGATTTCGTCTTCACCGAGGATAATATCGTTCTTTTTTGCCCCGATCACAGAAGTCGTTTGGACCAATTATAGTAAAATATAATGTATAATATAAAGATAGGCTAATATAATTATATAATGTATTTTATACAAAAATAGTAGGCCTATCTCCTAAATAAAAAAAAATTGAAAGAAGTGTCAGAAAAAACCTGATTTGTATTAATTCTTGGAGTGCTCGTGCTTATTTTGAATCTCCAACTCATAAAAACTTAAAATGTTAAAAACTTAAAGGAAAACTTAATTTAGCATCATTCAATTTTTCTAAAATACAAAAATAAATTACATTTAAAATAGTTGAAGTAAGCTCATTTAATTAGTGATACAAAATACATTAAAAGCGTATATTTCTTTTTAGTTCTAATCACTGTTTAGGGTTACTTTTTTAATAAACACCATGGTACCCTGTTTAAAATAATTTTAAACATAAAATTATTTTAAACAGGGTAGGCCTACTATGGTATTTATTATTTCACTTGTATATATATGTATGCAAAAAAGGCCCTCTCATCTAAGCCGCCCCAGGCCCCCAACTATGACAGTACGCCACTGCTAGGAGTAAAGTTACAAAAAAAAACATGTAGGGAGTAAAATTTTAAGTGAACTAAGGAGAATACAAAGCATTAATAATATTTGCAAAAAAGAATTATTTAGGTATGTAAAAATAGCAAAAACCGTTAAAAATTCGAAAGAAATTAAGTAGTAGGGCGTTTTTTTAAGGTGAAGGAATGTGATTTTCGAAAAACGCATGATGGTGTCTTGTAGAAAATTTAATTCCTGACCGTGAAATGTCTTTCAAATCTTCGCTAGCTCTTACCGTTTTTTTAATTATAGCTGTAAAAAAAAGTGTTTTGTCGTTTTCAGATGTCCGCCATTTTGGATTTTTGGGAAAGTTAAAATTAAAAAATTATATCTTCAAAAATTTAACGTTACTTTATGATCACGTACTACAATACTGCCAAATTTAAGTCCCTAGCATGTTTCTAAATGGTTCAGATGAGCATACCAAAGTCGGTAACTTTCAATGTTATTCCATGTAAGAATAACGTGGGGGGAAATTCTAAATTTTTGAGGGGTTACCTAGTTCTTCTAGAAGTATGCTTATTCTTCATAAGAGTTCACATATTGGCTTAAAATGCATAAACAAACTTAAAAATTTTTTTTATCATCCACTATTTAAAAATTGTTGGAGTCACAAATGTCAAATGCAACTTTTTGGACTTTTCTGTCAGTGTTGGGAGCATTAAAAGTACACATATATGTCCGAAAAGTAGTTAAAACAATTAAAAAAGGTACTTACTAAAAAAATCTGTGAAATTTTAAATATTTTGGGAAGTAGGGCACTTTTTGAGGGCGAAAGGGTGAGATTTTTGAAAAACACATAATAGTGTCTTATAGAAAATATCATGCCTAAACATGAAAATTATTTTAAATCTTTTCTAGCTCTTACCATTTTTAAGTTATAGCTGTTAAAAAAAAAAACTTTTTTAGTTCAAAAATTCGCTATTTTGAAATTTCTTGAAGGGGCTAAAATAGGAAAATGTAACTTTTTGGAAAAATTATTTTTAATCTGTTCTAGCTCTTACCGTTTTTAAGTTATAGCAGTTAAAAAAAAAAAAAACACTTTTTTAGGTCAAAAATCTACTATTTTCAAATTTTTGAAGGGGTTTTCATGCCCCTCCATGTAATTTGACATGGAGTTTTCTGGTTGGTTTAGGAGACCTTTACAGAGACCTATATTCGTAGCTAATTTAAATGTCTAGCTCTTCTAAAATTATGAAAAAAAATTAAAATAACTAAAACGTCTAGAAACAGTTTTACAGTAAATGAAATTTAAGTTCTTAAAAGATAGATTTTGTGGGTGGGGAGGGGGCATAAGATGAGAATGGCTTCTTTTTTTCACTTTTACAAATGATTTACGACCATGAATAAGTTACATAATGGTTACCAAGACCTTAATATGCTTGAAATCGCATTTTGTTCTCTGCACGCTTATTCTCCATAATATTAACATGGGTGGTATTTTTAATCAATGGATGAGGGTTAAATTAAGAATGTGAGGATTTTAGAAAATGTTTAAGGTAATTTGGACCGAATACCAACACCCCTAACAAATTTCAAAGTTCTAGCTCTAATAAGAGTGGGTAAGTGGGCTTATGATTAAATTCTAAGGACACAACTATCAAAATGGTGTTTTTTTAGGGGTTTGGAGAGAAGATACGTGAAAGGCGCAATGGAACAAAATGTACACTATAAAAATTTGTATACAAAACATTAGTTTTATTTTATGTAATCTTACGTTTGTGTAATTTTAAATTGAAGGAAAACTTCAAAATCGGGATTTTCATAAAAACTTAAATCATCCCTCCCAATTTTGAGGGTTGAGAAGGGTGATTAAAAATTCCAAAATCAGTTAAGAATAAACTTTAGACATATGTAAAAATAAGTGTTAGGTCAAACATGCCAAAAACGTTTTTTAACCAAATACAGGGCAGCCAAAACCCCCAAAAACAGGGGGAAAAGGCAACATTTCAAGTTTACGCTTGAATTTGGGGGCGAAAGAGTGAAAATTGAAATAAATGTTAAATTACAAAGTTGTAGATCGTCATAAATAAGGAACCAAGTTTCTCTTTGTTTCTTGTTTAGACCTACGGTTGAGCCGCAACAGACGTTTGAATATAAAAAAACATGAGGGAAATACCAAAATTTGAAGTTTAGAGCGATATATAAGGATGAAGGGGTTGAGATAGAGAAAGACTTTATATTACAAAATTGTAGCTGCTAATTTAATTCTAAATACCGGTACAGTAAGTGTTCTTCGTTTTTTGATTAGACTAACGGTTTAACCACAACAAACGTTTGAAAAAAACGCATTTCTAATACTTAAAAAAACCGCCATTTTGAATTTTTGGGAGGGTTAAAATAGGAAAGTGTAACTTCTTGAAGTTTTCTGGGTGGTTTAGGGCCAAGACCTATTATAATCGTGCCAAATTTCAGGTCCCTAGCTCTTCTAGAAGTATGTTAGAATTTGTATACCTGATCAGTGAGTGAGTGAGTCAGTGAGTTACACATGCAGCTGTATATTTAATTAGATGTTACCAAAAAACAATGCAAAATATCAATTAAAAGTTTTGAATATATAAAATAGATTCATAATATATATTGATAAAACTAGAATAGAATCTATAATATACATATTTTATATGTATATTTTTCCTTTTAAATATTTAACAAAATTATGAGTTGAAAATATTTTAAATATATAATAATTTGCATCTTTTTGTTTTTTATAGTGTCTATCAATTTATACGTGCATTTTTTGTATGACAATTGCTATTGTGAAAGCGTTAAAATTAAGTAAATAATAATACATACTCTGAATGGTGTCACCCTATCATGCACGTAAAGAAAAAATTATGCATATAGTTAAGAGGCAGTATACATGTTCGACAGCTACATGTGGGTCAAACGAAAGAGTGTTGATAGGTTTTATTTTTTAATTGCAATATGTGACAATGAATGTGATCATATGATTAGCTAGAAAAGTGTGCTAGTGACTCTAAGAAACTAATTGTATATGGTGTTCTAAAAATAATTATTTGATTTACTTATGTCATAAATTACATAATATTTGTCATAGTATTTAAATTAATTTTTGTAGTTTACTGTATTTGTATTCGTGGAGACTACTCACTATTCACTACAGCACTATTCAACTCAACTACTTGATGCCAAAACAGATTAACAGTATCATATTATACTGTAGTATCAAAAATATTTTAAGTATTGCAACCATTGCAACTGTCGGCTACTCTTTGACCATTTGAAAACTTAGACTAACAACAATCACAGACAGCTCGGAGGTAAGGTAATAGGCTCATGTCGGAGGACCCAGGTTCGAGACCCATCCGGGCCAATAAAATTGTACTGTATCTAGTTTATTTTTCAAAATTTGTTTTTATGAACTATTTAATCAATTTACTCAACTGATAATTGTGCTTTTCATACTAAATCTTTATTATTTTGTGTTTTTATGTTTAGGCCCCATAGGATGTTTGAAAGTGTAAAAAGTAAGTGTAAAGTGTAAGTATTTAAATATTATTCATTAAAATATATTATTGGAACATATTTTTTTAATATTTAATACATTTTAAATATTATATAAAAATGATATTAATACACACTTGAGATATATTAAATAGATTTTAAATATATTTATTCATATGTATTTAATATATATATTTGTGCTACTAGGGTTGGCATTTCATAGATTCTAACACATTCCATTTTTATACTTTCAGTATTCCTTTATATTACAGAAGTGATGAATTAAGTGCTTTCAGTATGTTGTACGGCACACAGCTCAAACAAGTTGGTAGTTATGCTTACATTTGTATTTTGATCGTGTATTTTTTCATTAATGAAAGAAAACTGGTAATGCTAAATCTAAATATATTAAGTTTTGTGGTGAAATGTAGTTTTAAGTTTAAAACCAAGTTTTATAATTTTTAAATACAAAAATTAATTTAATTAATTTTTATAAATGTTTTCAATCAAATTACAATTGAATATTATTACATATATGAGCTTTTAGTACAAACATTTTTCTACAAAACTAAACAATAATTGAGGTTATATCATATTTACAAGGGAAGTTAAAATAACTTTATAAAATCATCACATGTTTTTGCCTGGCAAGGACATGCAGTGGCCATATGCTAAATAGTGTTGGCAGCAGGGTAACACACACTGCTATATCCGTTTGGCAATTTTGCGATGCAAAATAACAATATTCCCCCCCCCCCAAGGATTAAAGGATTATTTATTATTGAGGCTCTGTCAAAATCTATTACTTAGAATAAAAAACAGTAGCCTAACTGGTAGACACCCCATTGTATTCATATTAAATAGAGCTAAATCAATTAAACTGGGTTAGGCTATGGTAATTGTTCAAATGTTTTTGAATTTTCAGAATTTACTAATTTAAATTTAAAGTCAATCTCAGTTATTTAAAAAGTTACTTACAACTTTGGGATTCTTATGAACTCCAAACAGCCAAGGCTTGGCAGGCCTTACGACGTCTGGTGACAGAGGACATTCTTCCTGCTTCTTATTGATCACAGCCATAGACGAACTCGGACCTTGAACTTGGTTGCTATCATTTTCACGGTTTTCACACGGGTACATATTTATAAACTCGCAGCCGCTTTCAGTGTTCACCGGACTTTTGGTTTTTGATATCAACCAACTACTCACTTTTGAAATGGGGTAGTTGCTGAAGTCATATTGTAAATCATTGTTTTCCGAAGGTAGATCGTTGGACGGACTTTCCGTAATGACTATTCCCGGGTATGCCGAGTATGTCCCGTCACTCACGTACTGACACGGCCCTGGAGTGTGGTTCACAGATCTGCTTACTTCTAATGTTCTGTAATTAGAGTCGACATTGTCCACAAACGCACTGTCGACGTCACTCATCGCCACAGAACACACTCGGTCGCTGCTGGTTTCGTTGGCCGGAGGGTAGATCAGTTCTACACTTCCTGACTGTTCAGACTGTGACATCTGGCAGTCGTTGGGAGGCAGACTTTGTAGTAACTCGTCTTTTAGAGTGGACAGAGCTTCACTGTCAAGATCTGTCCTTCTTTCTTCTTCTGTAAATAAAAATTAAAAGTTCAGAGAATTATCTAATGTTTAACAGAGAGACACAAGATGTAGCCAACAAACTATGAAAGCATACGAACACACAATGAATATTGTATTGTGTAAAGCCGTTGTGCTTTAGACATCTCTTAGTTGTCAACATAAAATATGGCAGAGTTGTGCAAACTATATTAATGTGTGGTGACTTGTCAAAACAGAAACTCAAACCTCCACTGAGAATGTGAAAAATTTGAGGGCTTTCAAAAACACACAGTTGCCAGTTTCATACACAATTTTGACAAATGGATGGATGACCAGAACTCGTTTTTCGGAATGGTTTCATAAAAATGTTGTTCCATCGGTAAAATATTTTGAAAACACAGAAATTGCCTCAAAAAGCACTTTTGTTGCTTGATAATTGTCCTGGACATCCAGATGAGATGAGTTAAAAAGTAGGGGTGGAAAAATCACTGCTTTATTTTTGCCCCTTAATTAAACCCCGATACTCCAACCCAATGTGGTGAGTGGCAGACAAGTTGTTGTGGGTTTGTGTCATAGGCGTTACGGTGATTCTCGTCGCTGGTTCGTGTTTGCGACATGAAAATTGATATTTAAGCGAACGTAGTGTTGTGTTAATGACAGACAATAAGATAATCAATTACTTCTCGCCTTCGCAAAAACCTGTCAAACGTCCGATATCGCGTTCCTCGCCAGCATCACTGGAGGATTCTTCTACAGTTTTGATGATGGTAATAATGGAGAACGACGACAAAAAAGTTTGTGATTTGACTAATGGACGGTTAAGATTTTCTCTGAGAGATGTTATGTCCGATCTCCTGAACTTGAAATTGTCTAGGTTGGCCACAAAATCTGACTTGGTTATCCTCCAACAAAAAGTGTCACATTTGGAGGAAGAAAACCTTTCAAAAATTGAACAGATAGGCTAGGTCACCTTAAGCGACAAAATAAAGTAATTTTGGATAAACTTTTAGATTTAGAAAGTCAATCCAGAAGGAACAATCTGGGATACAGTTTGAGGAGTTTGTGCCTTATTTGAATGGGAGAGATTGGCGGGGCCTTGGGAGTTTTTTTAAAATTGCATGGAAACGTAGATAAGAGTTAGTTAGGGAATTAATTTTTTTTTTATTTTAGGTACTTTTTGAAAACTATTTTGAATGATTTATATAATTATGTAATAGACGATATAATTTAAATATGTTTACGTCTGTTTAAAGTATACATATATGTGAATGTATGCATACACGTGTATGTGTAATTGTGTATATATGTATGTATATATGTTGTCTAAAGAAGGGTGGTTTTATTTTGTTTTAGTGCTTCGTATGTTAATTATATGGGACAAATAATATTGAATGGACATTATGCCAACCCAGCAGACGGCCGTAAGACCATTATGTGCGCTATATAACAAAACTACAGTATTTTTATTTTTTATTTTATGTACTGTACTTTTAATACTTTTCAATTTCAATTGTACATTATGTGTAATCAATTAAGCATGTTTATATTCTATTCTTCTATTCTACTCCAGCCCATGGACCAAAATGTGATCCAAACTATAAAAACAAATTACCCCTGTTGTACAGTGTTTTGTCAAAAGAGGGGAGTGTTTACAGCTCTGAAGGAAACCAACCTGAATGATGTTTTTAATCTTGCAAGTGCATGGGAATAACTTTCAACAAAAACAATTGTTACTTCATGGGCGAAGTTGTGGCCTTCTCTTGATTTATTAGAGGATTACAAAAAACAACAACAAAAAACTCAAAGGGCAGTGACGACAGATGACAGTGTTACAACATACGCTGAGCTAAATGACTTGAGAGAAGCAATAACCGAACAATTAGTAGACGATCCAGTAGATCTGACATCAGCCGATGTTACCGCCTGGTTAGAAGGAGCAGACGACAAGCAGTGTCAAATCATGACAGACGATGAGATCATCGAAGATGGTCTAGACGGCAGTGACGTTGAGGATAGCGGAACCAGTACATCGTCAGCTGCATACACAGTTAACATGGATTCGGCACTCTGTGCCGACGCAACTGCAATAACTTGGGCGGAAGAAAACGGTGCTTTGGCTTCCGATATTATGACACTAAAGAGACTCCAGGAAAATGTTTTAAAACTTTTTTTTAATGCAAAGAAGCAGAAAAGCATTACAAATATTTTGCTGTTGTTTAAGTAGGCCTACAGATCTGTAATTTTCATTTTGTACACGTACAGTTTTTAGTGATTATCTTTGTTCATTGATTGAAATTGTACTGTACTGTTGTTTCCTGTTTCATATCACTGTTTCTTTTTCATAATAATACACTAAACAAAATTCCATTAGGCCTATACTGTACAGAGTTTCAAATTATTGTTATCATAGTTTTCGTAAGCAATAAAAATGTTGTTTATTGTAAAACTACTTAATTTTCTGATGCGTTTCCACTAATCCGGCATTTTCTATAATCCAGCCCTACTAATCCCCATATAGGGCCGGATTAACGAGATCCTACTGCATTTGGTAAAATTATGAGAGAAATCATTTGAATAATCTTAATAAGACAATGTTTAGTTTTCATAATTGTACCAAGGCAAGCAAATAGGGTTTCATGGTTTGAATTTTCTGGTTTTGACGATCACTAATCCATGCTTATCTTTTGCTTATTATAAACCATCGGCTTTTTGGTTTCTTTTATATCAAGAAGCCAACAGCTGCAGGTATTAAGTTATTGTATCAACTACCAAAAGAAGTATTTGGTATTATTATTATTAGTATTATTATATAAAAAACTTAAACTGTTTATAATTGATAGAGCATTTTACTCATTATTACTCATTAGAAGAGTTTTACGACATGTAATTACATTAATAAAATTTTCCTGTTTTATTTATTTGACGCCATTCTGTATTTTTTTATGCATATGTTTCCTCACCTGTGTACATGGTGAGTCTTCTAAGCTGTCCTAAACAGAATACAGACGAACAGCTTGACATACAGAGATGAAACAAAACTTTTCCCCACTAATTCATACCCAAGGAACAGCGTAAAAATATTTTTACTATTTTTAAAGTACAGGGTGTTCGAGAAACTGGGGGTCATGGGTTCAAATCTCAGAGTTTTCAAACGTAAACATATGTCATGTTATGCTTCAATTTAAAGCTCTAGACTAGACAAACAATTTAGTGAAAACAGAACTCATTTATCTTTGTCCGTACCAAAATGGCGGCCATTTTTAGTGAAAATATTGATATTTACAGAATACCCTGTATCTTGGAAACCACTAAACTTATTTTCATTCTGTTTAAAAATTCTTAATCCTCGTGAGTTTAGCTTTAATTCGATATACGACATGTCAACAATTTTCAAACTAAATATTTTTTCAATGATTTTAATTTTATTTATGTTGGTAGTAAATGAAAAAATTTAAATTGTAACATATGTCAAATTGCGTATCATTTTGAAGGTCTTGCAAAAACAAACAACTTTTAATTTTAAACCCACCGTCTATCTTTGATAGTTTTCTAGTAATTACAAAGAAAACCCAATTGCCCTTTAAAACCCATGTTAAACATGCAGTACTGGAGATTGGTGGATGCAGATACACTATTCCCATGGTACCGCACGTTTAACATGGGTTTTATATGGGCAATTGGAGTTTTTGGTAAATTTTTGGACAAAGATAAATGAGTTCTGTTTTCACTAAATTGTTTGTCTAGTCTAGAGCTTTTAAATGATGCATAACATGACATATGTTTACATTTGAAAACTCTGAGATTTGAACCCATGACCCCCAGTTTCTCGAACACACTGTATTTTAAAAATAGTAAAACATTTTTACGTTGTTCCTTGGGTATGAATTAGTTGGGAAAAGTTTTGTTTCATACCTGAATGTCAAGCCGTTCGTCTGTAATCTGTTTAGGACAGCTTAGAAGACTCTCCCTGTATATTGTATAAATCTTGAATAACGCTTTTCTGATTCTGATTCCGATTCTGGTATTATAGCAAAGTCTCAGCTATTGTCCAAACTTTAATGAGGACTTTCCCAATAATGGTACGCCTACAGTAATGTAAAGGTTACCTTGATGAGTGAATAGCGACAACTGGTTCGCACCCTTCACTGAGTTACCCTATCATTTTCAATAAAGGAATTTGATTGAACACAGACGATCGATACTTTAGATTATTTGAAACGAAATTAATATTGAGTCGAATTTCAGAACAACAATATTTTGTTGATTCATATCGACCCCTGGAAATTTAAACCCAGCACTGCTGAACTATCTTTGGCAATAAGGTAACTAAATCGACACACACACAGAAATTCCCTCACATATTTATGGCGCCCGAACAGGGACTACTGAATAAGTAGTTATTGACGAGAATTTGGAAATAGTTGAGTGAAAAGTAGAAATATGGATTTTAGACGATTTATTTGAGGAACAACGATGTTCTATCACGTAGAGAGATTCCTTAGACCCTTCAAGATTCTCCTGGCATTGAATATAATGGAAGAAGGCGACAACGGGAGCGCTTCGTCACAAGGAGGCGAGCAACAACCTATCGCTTCGGTCACAACCTCGTCTGGAGGACCTATGGACATCCACCACTACGACTACTAGCTCTACGGCAGCTGGAACAGCTCAACGACCACCTTCGGAGACAGAGGTAAGGGTCAGCTGGGTCTACAAGTTATCAAGATCGCAGCTTGAAGACGAGTTAGGCAAGCTGGGAACTGTGCCAGAAGGAAATGCTAATCAGCTTAGAGCAGAACTTGTTCGACGGTTACGACAACGGGCTGGAAAGGAGGCGATTGAAGAGGATGATGAGTTCCACCACGCGTCTCAAGAAGTACCAGCGAGTGCATCCTTGGAGTTAGAAGCCGTGAGCATCCGAGAACTTCTGGGTCTTCCACCTGATGCCGATTTTATTTTAACGAGGTCAGACGGCTGATGACACAAGCTTTAAAGCCACGCCAGCGACCTTGTCAACTACACACCAGAC